GAATCGGCTTATGCTTCTTCGGCAGGTTCTGAGCTCTCTTGGCTGAAACGGGAAGAGTTGTAGACTTTGGGCTTAGTATCGCAACTCTGTTGAAGTTGTTCCTCGCTGTTTCTGAACCTCGGTCGGGCGGCGAGAAGAGTCGTGGACTTTGGGAGTATTAGTTTGAATAGGAGCCTCCGGGTTAATATTGCTCACGATTCCTCCGCCGCTTATTGAACCATTCCTCTGCCATCACGGACGCCTGATGCTATTCTAGTAGTGGCAGTTGTAGTAGGTGAGTGGGTAGAAACAACGTCCAAGTCCTCAGAACCTTAGCAATGGAGCGTTACAATATAACATCTCTGGCGACTACGGCAGTTGCGTTGAATACGGGAGGAACAAGGAGCCGTTATTGTGGCGGTGGGGTTCGTTGGATATATCCAATGGCTGATCCGTGTGAATATACTTCACCGAAGAGGCGATTGGGGTTCAGGGTGCTGACGGATTGGAAGGGGGTGGTTTGAGTGCTGTGTGCGGTATATGTGGGTGGAGTTGTTCGTGAGTTTGCGGTGAGAGGAGTGTTTTTGGGCTGGAAGTGGTGAGTGGGAAAATGCCAGCGCGATAGATACATGTACTTGTGTGGAAGTGGTGAGAAAGAGGTGGAGAAAAAATCGAACGTGATCGCGAACCTCTGAGTGACACATTATGATTTTTCTGGTTTCCACAACTAAAAGTAATGAGCCCGCACAGATTCAAACTGCGACCTCTCAATATACTTTAGATGGTAATAAATCTCAAATATATTCCCAGGATGCAAGCCCTACACCACAGGGCCCTTAGGATGTTATTACCATCCCGACGAAAACTATAACCCAAGCTACGTATACGGAAAGTTTAAATTCAGTCACCCTCATATTCTTACTGCAGGTACATAAATAAAGCGTTGTCATTACAACGTCCAGTCATAAATATGGATATATGTATTGGGTTGAAATATCAACACCAATTCTAAGTTGGTTCCTACTATCAATTTGAACCGTTGGGTTGATCACAAAAAAAGTAATCTAATTATGGAAAAAAAAAAACAAAATCTGTAAAATGAAGTCCGTAAAAACATTCCCCCAAAAAAAGAAATCGTAAAATAACTCTCCATCTATTCTTGATCGAATCTCTTCCTATCCACCTCCCTCTCTGGCAGGTCCGCATCATTAGCCTTCCGTTTCTTTCCCCTCCCTTCCTTTTCCTTCTCCATCTCCATCACCAACCTTCTCCTCGCATCCCCCCCTTCCACTCCACCACATCACCAGTCTCATCACCCCCTCCTTTACCCTAATAACCATATCAGCCCCTATCGCTTCTTCCCTCATCTCATCGATTACTCACCGTGACATCCACCTCCCCACTCGCCAGCTCTTGTTGAACCCTTCTTGCCGCGGCCCAATTCTTCTCCCTCTCCTTCGCTCGCTTCCTCTCTCGCAACTCAGCAACCTTCTTTTTCTCCTCCCTAGTCATTGCTTCAATCCTACTATGTAACTCCCACAACTCCTCCGGCGAAAATGCCTCCTTGATTGCCGCCTTCAGCTTCTCCGGAAGACCAGGCGGGAACCCATTCTCACCCATCCTCCTCCTCTCTCTAACCCTTTCATATTGCTCCTTACTATACTTCCCTTCCAACTTCCTCTTAATCCACTTTGGCACTATATCCCTCTCCTTGGGCAAACTCGGGAACTCCCCCCTCTTCCTAAACTCCCCTTTCTTTATCCTTTTCGAAAACGCCTTAACCAACCCCTCCAGCTGTGCCTTCGTATACTCATGTTCAATCTTTTTATCATAGTGTTTAATCTTACCCACGCACTCCAAAATATACCCCCTCAACTCCTCCTCCGTAGCCCTCGGATCCCTGGCTTCCGTGAGCAGCGAGAAGTTACGGACCAACTGTTTGCGTTTGCGCTTGTAGTCTGCTTCGAGGGTGGAGAGGTAGGATGGTGGGGGAAGGCGTGGTGGGTCAGGGATGGTTGAGAAGTCGAGAGGTGGTGGGAGGGGTGGGTCGTCGATGATGGCGGGGTCGAGGTTCATGAGGAGAGCTGTGGGGGGTTAGTAGGGTAGGGGGAAGAGTGGTGCGGGGAGGGACCTTGATTGAGGCGGAAGTCGCGATCCAGTTGGCGGCGTTTTTCGGCGGAGGTTATGGTGCGGAAGAGGGGGTGGTTGCGGGGGGTTGTGCTGGTGAAGGGGCGCCAGTGGGACATAGTGCGTGGTAGGAGGAGGGTTGAAGGAGGGTAGGAGGAGGGTAGGAGGAGGGTGTAGTGTTTGAATGAGGTTTATACGAGGTCGGAGTGGCCGTAAAAATACGTTTGCTGTTGTGTGATGAAGTTTTGATGCCAAACGACGGTATGTCAAAATTTTTGATACTGGCTGTACGTGAGAGATGTTCGGAGAGTGTCTGAAGTTCCGTTAAAGTTGGAGAATACAAGATATCCGAACTGAAGTTTTGTAAAGCTGATGAGTGTAGAAGGATGGCTGATGAAGGCCTATGACAGTCCAACTGTTGATATTGGTTGTATGAGAGGTAACTGGAGAGTTTCTGTCACTGAAATGGAGTTCTGTGAATTTGATGAACGCAAGATGCCCGAACTGAAGTTGTGTGAAGATGCTCAGGATAGCAGGTTGGTTGTAGATGTTGCGATGAAGAAGGTTTGAAATTAAATGGCAATCGGTTCAATTGTTGATGACAATAGCTATATGATAGTCTGAGAGTGTAATTCCGTGTGAAATTTGCAGAATGCAAGATGTTCGAACGAAGTTTTGTGTAGATAGTCAGAATGGTAAGTTGGCTGTAGATGTTGTGGTCGAAGTTAAGCTGCGGTGTATGGTTCAATCGTAAATAGACTTACCACGGGATGATGGTCCAGTTGAAGGTCTCCTTAGAGCTAGTGTCAATGGGAAGTGGAGTACACATAATATGGTTACAATCGGAAGATGTAGACGAGCTACTCGCTTGAGTTATATGAGCTAACCTATTACTCGCTTTTTTTAAAAAAAATAGAAATGTGCACTAACGAATGAATTAAATAGAGCAACCTTTATAAGCAAGAAGTAGACCGTCCACATGGGAATCATCTTGCACCCAGCATTTCGCCGTGATAACGCTTGCTAGAATTTCGCCGGGCTCGCAAGCTCGTTCTGCGAAAAACGTCCGAGCACGAGAGAAAGAAAGAAGTTCGATAGCCACCATCACCCGACCCCCTCAAACTTTAATCCCCTCCCTCCGCCACTGCAGTAACAAAAAAAAAACGGTCCCGAGTAGATTCGAACTGCGACCTCTTAATATACCTTAGATTGTACTATATCTCAAATATATCCCCAGCGTGCAAGCCACTACACCACGGGGCCGTTGTATGAGTTTTGGCTCATACTTGGCCTGACGAAAGACTGTGGTGCGGGTGGGCTTGAGAATTACACTGATAGGGGTGTATTTGATACTGTGTCTTTGCTTTTTTTTTTGTTTTATTCATACTGTATGCACTCTAACTAGAGTATGACAGAGCCCATATTCCCTCCGCCTCCGGGCGAGCCGGCTAGATGGCGGATTTCCCCACCCACTACCCTTCGTCCCCTTCACACTGGGGGGCTGGCACTGGGATTCGAACCCATAGCATGATGCTGTGTCTTTCTTACAGGCTACAGTACTTGGTATTTCGCGGGTTTTACAGGAATTTCCGACTTTCAATAGTTGTCGCACTCTCTACGATGCGTTTTGCTGACACACGCAAATTGGACACACGGAAGATTGCCAAACCGAATTCTCTCTACCTCTCTTAATATAATTGCATCACTACTTTAACCGCCTCTAAAATTGCCCTCCTATCACGTTAAAAATCCGTCGTCTGTAACCTCGTTCTCCCGATTCTCGATCTTCTCTGCCACAGGAATCGATTGCATCTATTCCATATCTCCGTGAATTCCAGTTATTTTTACGTAATAGAACATACGCCATGCGGCTCCAGGAATCTGAACTTGCTACAAAGGGATGGATTGCAGAGCTACGGCTGAAGTGAGGTGGTTGTGCTATGAGGGAGCGCGCAGATGCGTGCAGAACATTCGGGACGTGAAAGGAATCTTGGACAGTGTTCCCGACAGGCCAGGCCGGCCCGCAGTTGGGCCTGTGGCCTGCAGACCGGGCCAGATGAGGCCGTTTGATTTTAGAAACTGTGCAGGCCAGGCCGACGATTTGACAGCCTGGGGCATAACTGTGGGTGACTGGGCGGACTATAGTCTTTTTAGTGGGTTGCATATGATGACAGTTGGCGAAAGGTGACTTACAATTGATAAGTTGTGGACGTTCCAGAAGTTTCTCATAGTCGTCACTCTGATCAGTCAGTGCAAATGGACATACAAATGATTGATAATCTGTTGAAACTTGAGCCTGCGGGTGAAATCCAGCAGTTTTTCATACTCGCCACTCTGATCAACTTTCTGGAGTGTATACATAATACTGAGACCAATGAGATGGAGCATATGTTTGAGGTATTGTATCAGCCATCAATGGGCCATCGACGATGGCCAAGGAAAAGTAGGCTCTTGGGAATGTATTACTAGATGTACAAATTTGAAGTTCTACCCCCGGACCATAGTTACCTATAGTTACCTGTAGTCAAACTGCAGGCTTTTGGAACCATGGTTCACCCAGGCACCTGCAGTTTCCACCTGCTCAAAGCCTGCAGGCGTGGGCCGCTCCAATGGCCTGGCCTGCGATGCGCGGGCCAGGCCGGGCTTATCCTGAAACTGGCCCGCCTAGCCCATCAGGATTACTGATCTTGGAAGGACGATTCGGTCCGAGTTTGTATACAATTGGTCCGTTATACTATCAGTTCAGTGCTATGAGTCAATTCTTCATCGACAATGTTTCTCAACTCTGATCTGATCACACCCATCACTAGCCCATACGCTACCACACTGTTAATTGACTTACTCAAACCTTAATCTCCCTCCCCCACTTCCTCACTGCAGCAGCAAAAAAGTAACGGCCCCGACAGATTCGAACTGCGACTTCTAATATACTTTAGATTGCATTATATCTCAAATATACCCCCAGCGTGCAAGCCATTATACCACGGGGCCCTTAGATGTTATAATATATGTTTAGACCTGAAAACTATGCGGATGTGAGGATATTTGATACTGTGACTTTGTGTATGCACCTACAATACCTGATATGACTTCAAATTGCCAACTCTATCCGGAACCCCCACATCGACCCTGATCATCTGCATCAAGAATCTCGATTTGCTTGCCAATCCTCTTCCCCCAATAGAAACGATATACAGTACATTCGATTTTCTTACACTGGGTCTTACGCAAACGACGAAAACCTTCTAGAAAACTAAACATGTTCTGAACTTCCCGTCCGTTTGTTTCTGGTTAGATGTTCCTTAGTTCCTTAATTCTATTGCTCTATACTTAGCACGAAGTATGCACCCAGCACAGGTCTTCGCAGTGATCCTGATGGGTCAGGCGGGCCAGTTTCAGGGGTAAGCCTGGCCGGGCCCACACCTGGCAGGCTTTCAGCAGGTGGAAACTGCGGGTGCCTGGGTAAACCATGGGCCGAAAAGCCCGCAGTTGGACTACAGGTAACTGTAGGCTGGGGATAAAACTTCAAATATATATATCTAGTAGTACATTCTCGTGCGTCTACTTCTCCTTTGCCATCGATTGCTGATGCAATGCATCCAACATACGCTCCATCTCATTGATCTCAGTATGCACACCAGCAATCAGATCCTCTCGTTCTAAGGTAAGATTACCGCTACGTTGCAGAAGCACTCGTTCGGTGACAATATCAAGCTGGGGCCCGGCTTGCCCGTCGACCAATCAACTTGAATACGACCAAGTCCAGCAAGATGCAAGCAAAGTGATTGGCTCGCTTATCGGGTCACGTGCTGGCACTAAAAAGCCCACAGTTCGCCCAGTCACTCACAGTTTTACCGCCGGCTTTCAAATCGTCGGCCTGGCCTACGCAGTTTTTAAATCCAGAGGCCTTATCTGGCCTGGCCTGACTGCGGGCCGGCTGGACCTGTCGGGAACACTGGGTCTTCGAATACTGAAGATTGCCAGATTCCAGGTTTACAACGCCACGCGATACTAGAAGAACCCGTCTATGTATTGAAAAGAGGTAATAGCACAACGAGAGCTAAGTCCACACATCATGTACAATGCTATAGCGAAATACTCAAAGGAAATGACGGCGCTGCAACTACTGGAGTAGTAAGGAATTCATGGGTCCACACGAAGGATCCATTGACATGGGCGACAGATTGACATCTTCGCCGTGTTGCCTTTGTAGAGCTACAACTCTGGTGGGAAATTACGAATGAGTTCGGGAGGAGATTTGTGTAGAACCCTCATGTCGTGAAAGAAATTTTGCAGGTGCAGTGGGTGCAAGTTTAGCTGATACAGAATCAGTGCGTTGTATTCAAATTGTGATATTATTCGGCTGATTGGATCACAAAGATCGACAGCGACTGCGAATACAGAGGTTTTCCCACACTGACGACAGCAGCTACAAATACAACACAACATGCCTGATGTTCCTTCGATGCCATTCATATTAACCCTTTCCTTCGCTTAATTAGAATCCATCCGACCCAGGGTTGCTTTGTATTAGTCTCCACGTCGAATCACGCGCACCATTAGTTCAATTGACTCACTCAAATTTGCAAACCTTAACTCCCAAGCCCCTCAAGAAAAAAAGAATTTAATGGCCCTGCACAGATTCGAACTGTGACCTCTCAATATACTTTAGATGGTAGTAAATCTCAAATATATCGCCCGCGTGCAAACCACTGCACCACAGTGCCCTTGGATGTTTGTATGGGGTTGTCATGTACTTAACCTAACAGTCGAGATTTGCGAGCTACGCAGAAGTGAGCATATTTGATATCAAATCTTTCTCTCCTAGTGCTGATGTGTACCTTTAACTTCAGTACTTGGTATTTCGCAGGTTATCTGACACTAAACGCCAACGCCATTCCACCTCGCCATTGATCAACCGCACCAAGAATCTCGTTTCTTGCCAGTATCCTGTTCAACAGAAGTGGTATCCGTCGCTACTTTGACACTCAATTTACTGTCACCAATTGAATTCCTTTTAGAAAACCATTTTTTACTGTCCCTGTCCGTTTTTTTCCTGCTGCTTCTAACAAAATGTTTCCCAATTTCCAGTTCGTACATTAGGAACGCGGTTGCGCCAAACGTTCTGTACATACAACCATACTCCCGGAAACAGGTCTTGGAACACAGGAGATCATCAGATTCAAACCTCACGACAGCACAGGATATCTATATCCACCAGCTAGGAATGTGGTCGTTCCATGTCTGAAAATGCGGCAGTTTTAGTCTGCTTAGATACTGCTCTCTCGGAACTCGATGCTGCTCGATCTTTCTCGGCACCTGCAGATACTACTATTTGGTACATAGTGTCACAGAAATGATTCTATTCGCTGTGACAACTGTTATAGAAACACAACCAGATAGGTTATTCGTGGTAGCCACCCATCCATGGATAGGCCGTACCATCCATGGACAGGGCGGTTCCATGAATGGTACTGCCATTCATGGGACAACCGAAATTATGCAAATTAAATAGCTTGGCCTATAAGAAAATATAAAAAGATAAGTACTAACGTATATCTCGGTCTAACCGCCCACGGCCTAGTAACTGATCACGCAATCAAGCGCATAAGCGCCCGAGCAGGGGTTTGTATTTACCCCGCTTCTAAACTTAATTTTCACCTTCCCACTTCATCACTGCAACCATGGGCAGAGTGAATCCCAGGGAACCGGTCGCTGACAGAGAAAACGACATCTGGGATGCCAAACAAGTGTATCTGAGTGGTGAAGTGACATCCATCTGCTCAGCAGCCTCAATTCACGGCATTCCCTATGGCACCCTGCGAGATAGACTCAGAGGGGCACAACCCCAGAGTATTGCATATGAGAAAGAGGAGCTACTTACTTCCGAGGAAGAGAAATCGATTGTGAGATTCTGTGAAGCTCTGGATGACCTGGGACACCCACTGCAAGGGTGGATGGTTAAGGATTTCGCGCTATCTCCACTACACCCGCAACATCGCTGGCAATTGGGCAAACACTGGATTACTCGTTTCCTAAACCAACATCCTGGCATTACTAGCAAGTTTAGTCAGCACCTGGATCGCCAGAGGGCAAATGCGAATGACCCTGTGATCTTGAATAACTTCTTCCGCAAAGTAAGTTAGATTCGTATACGTTAATATTTTTGACTAACAACTGGTATTGCAGCTGAGAAAACTTATTAGAAAGCTCAATGCTTGTCCAGAAAACATTTACAATATGGATGAGAAGGGGTTCATGCTTGGTCAGGCCTTGAAAGTCAAGGTTATCTGCTGTAAAGGCCAAAGGAATCTCCGCTATAGTCAGGATGGAAACCGGGAAATGGTTACCGTTATTGCGTGTATATCTGCAGCTGGTACAGTTATACCACCCATGTATATCTATAAGGGTGGAAAGCATATACTAGGATGGCATGCAGGAGTTCAGGCTAAAGGGCAGGCGACCTTCGCATGGTCATCCAAGGGTTGGACCGACAACAAATTAGAGTTGGAATGTGTAACACCAGGAGTGTTACTCCAGGTTTACCCAGTCAAAGTAGTATCCGTACTGAATTTGGGACTTGCTTCGCAGGTAGGTTAGGAACTTCACTCGGAATGTGGAAATCACTAAAAGGTTCTGAACGAAAAGAATAGGCTTTCTCCAATGCGTATATCGTTAAGACTTGTTTTCCTTGCTAAGAAGGTTGATGCCTTTCTACCCTCGAAGAACCCAAGGTCTTTATACCTTCGTCTTCGCTTTCTAACAAATACTTCTATCTACGCTTTTCTCTAGAGCTCCAGCACCATAACCACCTTCGAACCAATGCCCACTCATTTCGCAATTTCCGCCGTCCTGCATCTCTCGATCCTCTATCGTCCTTATCGTCATTAGATTATAATCAGACTATCAGTATCCTTCATGACATCAAGCTCGCGGGCTTGTGCCTCCGGACCAGTGGTATCCTTTCGATCTGATGACCTCCAGACGAATAGGCCACTTTCGATAGAGAGCAGCTTCGCTGTTCAGAGTCGGCACATATTCTTAGGCCTCCGGCAGTCGTTGGTTTTTGGCTGGCGCCATTCAGTTGTTTGCCGGCTGTTCGTTTGTCATCAGCAAGCGTCAGCTTCTTGGCCGATGCCATTCAGCTGTTTGTTTGTTATCGGCGATTCGGAGCAGAAGCGACCGCGGCCATTAACTAGCCGTCGATGCTTATCGATGGTGTGGGTGTTCGTTTGCTAGCCATCCGAAAAGATTGGCTCTGGCATCCGAGACGAGTGATAGCCGATGACGTCTAATCAGGGAAATCGCGGGTGATCGTACATTTCCCCGCTGCGGACTTGCTAGATGTAACACTACCCCCTCTCTTAGAGAGTTCGTCTCTGAACGACTATACTCCATACTGATCTGCTCTTCGTTGCCTTTGGCGAAACATGGTCCAGCGCGCTGAAGTGAATTATTCGAAATCCTCGACATAGTGAATCCGCACAGACCATTTCGCTTCGACCACTTGCTCTGAGACATGCAAGCACAATCGACCAATCAGTTTGCCTACATCCAGATGAGTCATATGGCAGCAAGCAGAATCGGTCAATCAGGTGCGTCCAGCTAAGACACTTTGCTTTCTTTTTTCTTTCTTTTGATGATCTGGGAAAATCGTGACCCTGTGTGCCCTTAAAACCAAATCCATCTGTCTCTTGATCTATCTTTCTCTTGATCTGGAAAATCGTGGCCTCTTGTGCGCTTAAAAACCAAATCCTTCGTCCGGTGTCTTGCTAGCTGTTAAAAACCCTTCGTGGGGAAAAGGTACTAGCTCAACTGTTTGATCCTATTATCCTTCGCGGCCTGAGGATTCCGTCTGTGATACTCCATTAACAGTCTCTTGTAGTCGAAGTTTTCATAAGGTTCCTCAGTCCAATCTGCTTCTTCCGGATATCCCTTCCACTTGACCAGATATAAATCCCGTTTCCGTTCCTTGCTGTACTGGCTGCCCATGACTTCCTCAACTTCATAGCCTGTTTCGTAGTTGTAGCCGTCAACATCATAACCCAGCTCATTCTGCTCACTGGCTGAAGCAAGCTCGGGTGTAGGTCTAGTAGGGTTGGTGGCGAGTCGGTAAGGTTCGATGAGAGATACATGGAAGGCATTGTGAATACGCCATCGATTCGGTAACTCAAGCTTAATAGCGGTGGGCAAGAGCACCTTCAAGACCTTGAACGGTCCATGAAGCTTCGCATCTAGTTTTCTCGATGGTCTTCGAGTTTTGAGCTTCTTCCGATTTAGCATAACTAGATCGCCAACCGAATACTTCGGAGGTTCCTTGGCACGCCGGTCATGGTACTTCCCCATTGTCTCCCGTGCCTGCTCTAAGCCTTTACAGCAGAGTGCATGCACGCTGGTCATCCAGTGAACGTAGTTCCTAGATGCCGGATTCTTCGCTTCTGCTTCGATGGGCCAATTCGTTCCAGGATCGAACCGAAAGTTTGCAAAGAACGGTGACATTCCCGTAGCAGTGGTGAGAGTGTTATTATAAGCATACTCTGCCATTGGTAATATCTCGGACCAATTGACCTGCTCATAATTGCAGTAATTCCGCAGATAGCATTCCAGCATTTGGTTGACTCTTTCCGTTTGCCCGTCTATTTGTGGGTGGAATGGTGAAGACATCTTTAACCAAATGTCAAGAGCTTTGACCAACGAGGACCAAAACGAGGAGGTGATCCTAGAGTCCCAATCTGACACTATGTTCAATTGTAGCCCATGAAATCTCCATACTTCTTTCAAGAAGATTTTGACCAGGTCTGTAGCTCTCTTCCCTCCATCTTTCAATGGAATGAAGTGAGCCATTTTGGTGAATCGGTCGACGATTACCCATACCGATGAGAATCCGTCTGATACCGGTAATTTGATGATAAAGTCCATGGAAATTGAATCCCACGGGCGGTATGCTAATTCGAGTGGTTGTTGGAGTCCGTAGCGAGCATGACAAGCTGCTTCATTCCTTTGCCACTCAGGGCATTAACAAACATAGTCTTCGATGAATTTCTCCATTTCTGGTCAAAAGAAGTTTCGTCTGACCAGCTCGATTGTTTTGTCCTGCCCCATGTGTCCAGCCATCTTCGAATCGTGCTCCGCTTCCAATATCTGTTTCTTCAAATGCAGATTGTCCAGAATCCACAGTCTGCCTTTGAAATACAGGGCTTTGTCTTCGAATGAGATATCTGGGCTTGGGTTTCCTTCCATAGCTCGGACGTACTCTTCTTCCCATGCAGCATCGTTGTTAGCGGCGCTGACCACTGCTTCTAACAGCCATGAATTGAACTTGACTACTGGAATTGCTCTCAACTTTGCAGAAGAAATTGCAATCGGTTCGCCTCGTAACCTCATCGCCGTTACTTGCACTGTTTCTCCTTCAGAAGTTACCAACTGATCAGGTCTTAGAACGCGGTGGATAGGTTGGTTTCTGTTTTCTTCGGCACTACCACCCCTGTTTTTAGGGAGGTACTCCGAACGCCTAGATAATGCATCCGGTTTCCCATTTGCACTACCAGGTCGGTGGAATATTTTAAAATCATATCCTGCCAACTCTTGAGCCCAGCGGGCTTGTCTCCGATTCAAGATCTTCATAGTTGTAAAATATTTGAGATTGTTGTGATTGGTGAAGACACTGATTGGATGAGCTGCACCTTCGAGATATCGTCCCCATTCTTTGAACGCGGATACTATGGCG